AGGTGCCGGGCCCAGTCGTCAAAGGTGAAGCCGGCCGTGCTGGGCGCCCTGCTGCTCCCTGGCGAAAAGGTCGGGTTGGAGCGGGCCCAGCGGGCTGCGGAGCATGTTTGGGTGTTGTAGAACTCTGTGTGTGGGACGTCGGCCGAGGCGCGCATGTTAGTCGTATGGCTAGGTCAAGGCTTCCGACCTTCTGCCCCTGGGGCTGGCTGGCCGGAACCAAAAAATGGAAAGGGCAGGTCACTCAACGTATAAACAGCGCGTCGAACCGCACCGCGCGCACGACGGCGCTCAGGTTCGAGTCGGGCACGACGCACTGCGGGCTGGCCGTCAGGTAGCGCGGCTTGCGGCGGCCGGCGGGCGAGGCGAAGTGGGCGCGCAGGCCGGCCGCGAGGGCGCGGTAGCCGGCGCCGCCGTCGGTGGGCGGGTGCTCGATGTCGAGGTCGAAGCCGTCGAGGTCGGCCGCGTCGCCAAAGGGGCGCGGCAGGCGGCTGGCCCGGTCGGGCGGGCCGAACAGCGCCCACAGCTGGTCGGCGAACGCGCGCCCGGCCGCGGCGCCCGTCAGCTGGTAGCCCGACGTGCCGCCGCCCAGGCTCAGCAGCAGCTTCTTGCCGTGCCGGCGCTGGCACGCGGCCACCTGCGAGCGGAGGCGCGGGCAGTCGGCCTGCAGCGCGTCCCTGCTGCGGTCCCGCCCGGGTCCCTGGTAGACGGCGCCGCGGCACTGGTTGCCAAAGTTGCTGCCGGGGAGGCCGTTGGCCTGCGCCGGGAAGAGGTGGATGAAGGAGAGCACGATGACGTCGATGCTAGGCTCCTTGCAGTAGTGCAGCAGGTCCTTTTGGTTTGGTCCCTGGCCCTGTCGTGAGTTGCCGGCCCAGGAGAGGGGGTAAGGCCGGTTAGCGAGATCGCCAATTTGGTGACACCCCGTTTTCTCGGGGGAGACGAGCACGAAGCCTTGCGTATTGGTCTTACATAGTACACGACAACATTCGTTTTCGACGCGAAGCTGAAGCTGGGCTTCGCCTCTGTTAGCGCGAGGAAAAGGAGGGTCGCGATGAGCAGCCGCGCAAAGCTGGAAACTGTGCGCGCCATGTTGATGATCTTGAATCGTGAGCCGGTGCCGTGATATCGCGGGATGTGGTGCGGGTTGCTTTTCTCTCCTAAGTTTGCCCCTTTTTCTCACCTCCCTACTATCGTTGGAGGACCTGGGCTTTAAATGACAAGGACAAAGGTGTTGGGGCATCTCCATCAGCCGTGTGGAGCGACAAAGATGCGCGCTCGGCCAAGTTCCTCGAAGCATCGAGGCGCGTCACTGGGACATCATAGCGGGTAGGGTGCGTCGCGGTGTGGCATGAGAGTGTCTCGGAAACTAGTGTGGCATTGAGGAAGACGGTGGCGGCTTCGTGGCGTGAGAAAGCAGAAGCTTGGCCGAGACAGGGCCATTTGATTGCTCTATATCTAAACAGCCACACCTCCGCCGTCAAAGTCACCCAGCGCCGGCGTCGAGACTCACAAATATTAGTACAGTGATCCATCCCAGTCGACCCCGGCCACATCCCTCGCAACGCACCGTTTCCGGCGACTTGTTGGGCAGCCGAGCCCGTGACAGTCAAACAAAACTAAAAGTTGCGGCTCATGTCGGCGCGAATCCTTGCGTAGTCAAAGAGGCCCTCGACGCTGCCAACGGCACTGACGGCAACATCCTGGTCCCAAAGCTTGCGCTGGGCAAAGGACATGACGTCCTTCTCCGTGATGCCGTCAATAATACGCTCGATCTCGGCCGGGCTCGTACGGCGGCCGGTGGTGACGATCTGACGGCCAATGTCCTCAGCGACGGCCGTGGTGCCGTCCAGGGATAGAAGGATCGACGCCTTGAGCTGAGCCTTTGCACGCTCAACCTCGGCCTCAGTGACGCTCTGCGATAGACGAGACCACTCGCGCAGGGTGAAGTGGACGAGGTCGTCGATCTGCGTGAGTTTGTCCGTAACCAGGTAGATACCCCAAAGGCTGTGGGGAAAGCGTTAGAGTCAGCATATTTTTCTTTGTTCGCATCATCTTGGTACCGAACATTTGTGCCACCGGCTCCTGAAAGAGGATGTCAGTCGAAAAAAGCCCCAGGGGAAAAAAGCCTACCCAGTATCGCTATAGCTGGTAGAAAAGCTCATGAACGAGTTTGCCAGGTCGTTGGAGTGCACAAAGCCAGAAAGCTTGCTGCCCTGGTGGGGTGCGTTGCCCATGGCCTTGTCGTAGTTGCCGACAATGGCCTGGGTGACCAGGGCAGTGAAGTAGTCGTCGTCGCTCCAGCTCACGCCCTCAACTGCAATGGCGATGTTGGCGGTCGGGATGGTGTCGTCGCGAACACGGACATCGGAGCCGATGAAATCGGGCTTGGCCTTGGTCAGGATCTGGGAGCCCGACTGGATGGAGCTATCGGGCAGGCCGGCAAAGTGCTTCTCGGCCATCTCGACGAGCTTCTCGTGGGGCACGCCACCGGCGGCAGCGAGGACCATGCGGCCGGCCGTGTAGTTGTGCTTGATGTAGTTGGCCAGCTCGGTGCGGGTGATGTCACGGATGTTCTCGCGGGGGCCTAGGATGGTGCGGCCCAGGGGCTGGTGCTGGTAGGCAGTGGCGTGCAGGTGGTCGAAGACAACCTCCTCGAGCTGCTTCTCGACCTCCTCCGACTCGCGCAGGATGACGTCGCGCTCGCGCTCAATGGCAGACTCCTCGAGCTTGGAGTTCTGCAGGATGTCGGCCAGGATGTCGACGCACTTGGGCACATCCTCGTTCAGCGACTTGGCGAAGTAGACGGTGTTCTCGCGCTGTACCCTGTGGCGTCAGCAGGCCCAACCGCAGAATCAGGATAACCAAGGCCTTTGCAGGCGGCCCAGTTGGCCAATGGCCGGCTGGGGCCGCTAGCGGGGCGGGGAGATCGCATGGTGACGCACCGAGGTGTAGGCGTTGAGGTGGGCGCCCATGTTCTCGATCTCCAGCTCGAGCTGCTGCTGTGTCCGGCGGGTGGTGCCCTACATGCGGTATGGAAGCCTGTGTGAGCAGACGGTAGTCTCGCGGTGGCGGGGAGGGGGGCGTCTACCTTGAAGGCCAGGTGCTCGAGGAAGTGTGCGGTGCCGTTGGTCTCCTTGGTCTCTGCCCTGGAGCCGGCGTCTATCCACACGCCAACGGTCGACGTTTGTGCGTATGGGGAGTACTGGGTGGCGACCTGCTCGGGGGGACACGGCTGTCAGTCGGGCGGACACGAGGCGGGCAGGGCCGGAGCGCACGCACCGTGAGGCCATTTTTCAGCGTGGTGGTCTGGGTGCTGCTTGGTGAGGGCACCGGGGAGGCAAAGCCTCGTCGCATAGGCAGCGAGAGGCCAGCCCGGCCGCGAAGGCCCTGCGACAGGTTCAGAGCAAGTCTCCGGGACGCCATTGGGGTGGATGTGGCCGGGATCGAGTGGGTTGAGGTGTTTGTCCGAGACTGGTCGTTCGACTTGGGATCTCGGCCAGGCGGCGCTGCAGTCTCGACCTTGGTAATTGGAAGCGATGGATTGGCAGCGAAAAGTTCCGTGCCGAAGTGGCGGCCTTGGTGCCTGAATTTTGTCTGGTCTGCCCCACCATGAGAGTGAGACGCTGCGATTTCAGGACCTAGACGGATAGTGGGTCAGGTAGCTCAGGTATCTTTTGGGCCACGATGTGTGTACCTCATCTCTGGGGTTGGTGTTGATCGCCCGTGTACCTCGTAGGACAGGGAGAAGGGGTGTTCGGCCAGGCGCGGCCATGGCAGATCAATGTCCGCCTCAGACAAATGCCACCGTCCTAGCTCCCCATGCCGATCGACTGAGGAGGATTGCCGGTCGGGACGTCACGCAGGCCGCCCCGTTTCCCCCTCATCATCATCTACCTGCTTGTCTAGCTGTTGATAGGTACAGCTACGAGACCCGTATGCTAGTCTGTAGCTACACAATCTCTTTCCACTTCTTCCATGTCTCGGTCAAGTTGGCAGAGAAAGCTCTCTCCATCCTACATCACTAGACTCATACATCCACCTGTCTTCTACACCCTCATCCCTAGAAGGCTACCCCTGTGCAGCAGTTCCCAGCATGAGCTATCCGGAGGGCGTTGCCGCAGGAATGCCGGCCGCGCTGATCCCCACGCAAAAGCTTCCGCCGAGAGCGGACTCGGCCCAAGCTCAGGTCATGCTGTCGAGCTTCCCGCCGCTGGGTCAAGTTACCAAGGCCTCTACCGCGGATGGAGAGTTCTCTTTCATCGTCTGCCTCCAGGTCCATCGCGCCCTCGCAGACAGGCCTTGGCAGGTGGCTCTATCTTGCACCGATCTGGGGAGAGCCGACTGGCACGATGTTCTCCTGGATTCGGCGGCCCCCGAGAACACACCTGTGTCTCTAAGCGCCCCCGACCCGATCACTGCCCCCATGTACTTCACCGCATCCTCCACCGTGCACGCTGCTACGAGCTTCACGCTCAAATATCGGGGGTCGCCTGATCTCCCATGGCGTGAGGCACGGGAAGATCTACTCATGCAAGACGGTATCATGCTGCCCCTGGCGTCTTCAAGTCTCCCTGATAGCCTACGGGGAGATATCCTCCAAGACCTATGCCTCGACGCGACTGTCAAGCCCGTCATGAGCCAGACCCCGGCTACCAACTTGTGGGTGATAGAGGCACCCGTCTCAGGGTTGGGTACCAGCAGCAGCGACCAATCCGTGATTTCTGATGTCGACCTAGGTCTGCCTTGGAACGGGGCAATTCTGAGGTAGGCAGTACCGACTGTCACGTTTGCCAACCACATAATCACCCAAGTGCGTACTGACACCCTGAAACCCCCGCCAGGTGGTTCGCTTTGGTACGGATATGGAGCCCCTGGCTCGCTCCACGCCATGGAAAGACCCAGTTCGCAGTCCAGGAGGATGTTGTCGTGTCTGCATTCTTGGACCACCATGGAAGGCATCTTGTCATCCTCCCAATTAGCGACTCGGCCTACGTCACCGCCGTCCTACGTAGCAGCGTTGATGGCCGAGTTGTTCTTCATGTGAGTGCCATATGCTTTGGCGGGTGGTTATCATTGGCGGCTTCCCAACACGCGCCCAAGGGCTGACAACCTTCGCACAGGCCCGATGTGACAGTATCGGCGATACCACTGCCAAGATCGTGGCCGCGGTGGGAGAAAGCTTCGAGAATACTCTAGCTGCGTGCATGTACCACGCTCGAGAGATTGTACAAGCACATGCGACGCAGCACTACAGCAAATCCGATCTTGTTGATACCCCAACTCCAGCGGGAGATGTGCGTCCAGACTGGATGGAAGACTGGTATGATGGTCTGGGATTCTGTAAGACTCCGTATCATCGCTTCCTCCCATTAATGCTCTACTAGGCGGCTGAGAGGTTCATGTCATATGTGGCTTTCACTGACCCGATGCTCTCTTCAGGCACCTGGAATGCCCTTGGGCAACACCTGACTGAGGATGTAATTCTCCGGGCCCTGGACACACTCGCTGAGAAGAACATCCAAATCCGCAATCTGATAATCGATGATGGCTGGCAGGATAGCCATCCGAGTGAGAATGGGCAGTTCCAGTCTGGCCTGAATGGATTTGAAGCGTCGCCCACAAAGTTCCCTCGGGGACTGAAGGCCTTGGTATCAGCAATACGCTCTAGGTATTCTCACATACAGCACGTGTCGGTATGGCACGCCCTTTTGGGCTACTGGGGCGGTGTTGCGCCCGGCGGCGAGATATCACGCTCGTACAAGACTGTCGAGGTCTTGCGCAAAGAAGCCAAGCGCAGAAACTTTCCTATGGGTGGAAAGATGACGGTAAGATGACTAGCTGCGGTTGAGATATGCAGTCGGGGTGCGAGACATGTCAACTCACGACCTCTATCGGTGGACAGGTTGTGGCCAAAGACGACGTCGACCGCTTCTACGACGACTTTTACAGTTTTCTAGCTTCCTGCGGGGTCGATGGTGTTAAAACCGACGCCCAGTTCGTGCTCGATACATGGGTGGGCTCGGCCGCTCGGCGGGAACTCACCGACGCCTACCTAGATGCCTGGACCAGCGCATCGCTCCGCCGATTCGGGAACAAGACAATTTCGTGCATGTCCCAAGTCCCTCACTTCATATTCCACTCTCAGATGCCTCGTCACAGACCGGCCATACCTGTGCGGAATTCGGACGACTTCTTCCCGGAGATACCAGCCTCTCACCCCTGGCATGTCTGGGTCAACGCGCACAACAGCCTGTTTACACAGTACCTGAACGTGGTGCCGGACTGGGACATGTTTCAGACATCACACAGCTACTCGGGCTATCATGCCGCCGCTAGGGCCATCAGCGGAGGTCCCATATACATAACAGACGTGCCAGGCCAGCATGACATGGAGCTGCTTTCTCAGCTGACCGGCGTGACTCCTCGAGGCAAGACTGTCGTATTCAGACCAAGCGTCTTCGGCAAGAGTATTGACGCCTATGTTGACTACAACGACGATTCGTTGCTCAAAGTGGGCAGCTATCACGGTGAGAATCATGTGTTTTTGCATTAATGTGTTCATGGAGTCTACCGCCCCGCTATAACTGTGTCAGATAGCTGACTGGCAGACACAACTCTCTTTAGGCGATGCGAGGACTGGCACGCCAATAATGGGCGTGTTCAACGTCGCGGCAAGGTCCATGACCGATATCATTCCCTTAAATATGTTCGCTGGGGTCAGATGTCAGAACGCATATGTCGTACGTGCCCATACCACAGGGCGTCTTACTGGGCCAATGCAGCCTAATTCGCTGCCCTCGACGCTCAGCGTCTCCCTCGAAGAAAGGGGATACGAAATCTTGACTGCCTTCTCTCTATCAACTTTCGTATCACCTAGCGGGGCTCAGCTGTATGTGGCACCCTTGGGACTCCTGGGGAAAATGGCAGGTGCTGCGGCTCTGGTGTCGAGCGACATCGAGCTGGAGAATGGGCGCGTCATCCTCGACATCCGCGTCAAGGCACTTGGGACTATAGGTATGTCAACCCTCCAAATTGCTATCATTCTGCACTCCTAATCTCTAGATAGATGTTGCTGACCAAGCGGATCGATATTCAGGAGTATACATCTCCAGACTGCCCGAGATAGACATCGGAGACGACAGCATCGCAATGATCCAGGGGACAGTAATTCCTCAGGAAACAGTTGCTGTCTCCGAGCAGGATGATCATGTCCTGGCGGTTGACCTCGCAACCGCTTGGTTCAAAATGGGGTTGGATAATGGTTGGAGTAACGAGGTGCAGCTGATGCTATACATCGGCATCGGAAAGCTGGGCTCGAGTACGGCTGCATAGAGGCAGGACGATTTCACCCGGGTGAAGGACTTGATGTTGTTTTATACATGTGCTTGTTCTCCGTGTTAGTAAGGCTGCACTTTATCTCGACCCACTAATCATGGTGGGCCACTTACGCTTGCGCGGTGCCCGACTCCAATAGGAAATGGAATGGAAGAAAAAAGAAACGACAAAGGCCGACAAAAATAACAACAACAGTAACAGGAACGTTGTTTTACGCGCACATGAGTCGGCAGTGAGGTGCAGGGTATACAATAACATACCCACCCTAGTAGGCGTGTGTTGTATCCTTGAATATCAAGTTCTTCGGTGAACGCCGTCCTGACGTGGGCAGAGAGGTCACGCGGAGTCCCTAGCCTCACGACCAGACGGTCTCGCGCTCCATGGCATCAATCAAGGATAGCTTCATAGACCTCGAGCGCCACCGGCAGGCGCTCGAGGAAAACGCCGAAAAGCTCCGGGTACTGCTGCGGCAGTGGCGGCTCTGGGACGCCGAGTACGAGGCCCTGAAGGAGGAGGTCACCGAGAGCGACGGGCCCGGGGACCTGGCCCGGATCCGCCGGGACTTTGAGGGGGAGCTCGTCACGGGCAAGGAGGTGGCCGAGCTGTTCGGCGGCAAGGCCGGCATCAAGCCGGCCGGCCAGATCGTCGCCCAGCTCGACCGTCGCCTCGACTACGTGCAGCGCTACATCGAGACGCTCGAGGGGCAGCTCCGCGACGCCGAGGGCAAGGCCGCCGTGGCCGGCGTCGTCAGCGCCCCGGACGTGCGTGACGATGATGGCCTGCCCATCACCGACATCGTCGAGGAGCTGGACGACGACGACAACGTCGTCTCGTACCGCCTCCAGGTGCCCTCTGACTCACAGCCGCAGGTCCGGGAGGCCCTGAAGAAGGCGGGCGTCGCGATCCCCGAGTCATCGGCTGCGGCGGCGCCGCAGGACAGACCCGTACTCGACTCCCCTGCCGCACCGGCTGGTCAATCTCCTTCGGGCGCCGATGCAGGCCCCTCCACCGCGGCCCCTTCTGCAGCCCCGGCCGCGACCAAGAAGACCGTGTCGTTCGGGGAGGGCACCAAGGCCAGCGCCACCGCGGCCCTGAAGCAGCCCCAGGCCCGGGCGCAGAAGCGGCTCGAGGAGATCATGCGGCTGGCGAAGGAGCAGGAGGCCATGGCATCGCAGCCGGCTGTCATACCCGAGGCCGAGTCGGCCGAGGACGCGGCACTGCGCCGCGACATGCTCGCATACAGCATGTCGGAGATCGCCCCCGTGGTCGCGGAGCTGGAGCTGGAGGAGGGCTACTCAGACGAGGATGATGATGAGATGGCGGACTACGACTACTTTTACGAGGAGGACGCGGAAGACGATGATGGGGACGGCGATGACGACGACGGAAGCGGCAAGGAGAAGCGCCGCAACCGCAGCTACCTATCCCAGGAGTACAGGCAACGGATGCTTGAGCTTGAGAAAAAGCTCGGCGTTTCGGCGCCCGCCTCGGTGAAGGCGTACCAAGGCCAGGCGGCCGGTGAGGTAGAATCAGACGACGAGCCGAGAATCGGGCGTGTAACAGTGGCCGACTCAAAGCCCCTTGCGCCGTCCCAGATACCCGGCCAACCCCCGGGCAGCGCCTGGTCCGTCGAGCCAAAGTCTGCAAAAGGCAAAGTCCGGTTTGCAGAGAACCTCGACATCGCCGACGAAGCGCCCCAGCCCAAGCCCGAGCCCGCGGCCAAGCAGCAGCCAAGGAAACAAGGCTGGGACGACATCGTCGAGCGTGGATCGGCGACGGTGGCCCCTCCCAGCGGCCCCGCGCGGGCACCACAGAGGTTTCTAGAGACACAGGAGCCCAAGACGGCGCCGTCGGGGCCCGAGGGGCAGACGATTGCGACGTCCATCGTGGAGCGCCAGCCGGCCACGGCCGTGCGAGAACCCGACGATCTGGACGCCAACTTTCTCCACCAGGAGGCCGCCGTCGAATACCAACGGATGCGCAACAAGCTCGTGCACAAGGGCGGGGGCTTCCTCAAGGAAGACGCCTCGGCCGTCGTGCCGCTCGACGAAGAGGAGGGCGGCCCGAAGCGGATGAGCCGATTCAAGGCAGCGAGGCTATCAAAGCAATGATCCGATTTGGACCAGGAAAGCAATTAGAGTATTATTCCCATCCTCTCACCGTGAACCTCGTTGTACCCACGGCCCAAATTGGGATTCCCATCCAGTGAACACCACTAAACGATCCGAACGCTTGAACATGATCACGGAAACGAGTTCGCGTTACTGAATCTTTGCTTTGCTAAAGTCCATCTCAGGATGCTGCTCCTGGAACTTCTTGAGAATGTCCATCTTCTTTTGCTCGTCCGACGTCGGCTTGCCAAGCTCCTTCTGGTGCTGGTCGTACATCATCTTCTCGACCATACCTCTGGTCTCGCCGTCAAGGTCCGACAGCTTGGAGTTCTCCGGGTTTATCTTGGTAACATCGATCTTGGGGGCGTCGGTGACGACGTGTGCCCACCACTCCATCTTGTTGATCTTGTCCAAGTGGATCTCGATGTTCTTGGTGCCGTCCGAGTTTGGGGTCAGGGTCCACGTCGACTCGTCGACGCGGATTGCATGGGGCAGGTCTCCCTACAAGGAAGCCATGTTAGTGGCGTCTTCAACCTTTTTTCTTCTTCAATCTTCTTTGTTTCGGCGGGGCAAAGTGGCGCACATTTATGATCGGGTCCGCCCCCTTGACGCCGGCGTAGAGATGCTGCTTCTTGAGTTCGACCTTGAGGTCCTTTCCTTTGTAGTTGGCCGAGCCCTCGGGGAGCTTGATGACGACGTCAAGGTCGCCGATAGTCTGGGTCCACTTGTACGGGAGTTCGTCCTGCTCGGCCTGCTCCTTCGCGCGAGCAGCAGCCTCCTCGACGGGCGTCGGCTCTGCGGGTGCGTGGCATCCGTGTTAGTCGGGCTGAAAGCGCCACTCACGGCGCATGCCGTGCTGCTGGGGACTCGCTATTGTGGAGGACTGCTTACCTTTGTCTGCCATTCTTGAATCGAGATGAGTAGGGAGGATGTATGGCCTTGAAAAAAAAAAACCGAAAGGGATTTCTGGCGGGGTTGGCCTTGAGGAAATAAAAAGAGGCGATTGACAAACAGCGCCTTTCAAACAGCTTCAGCACGGCGGGGCTCAGTGTTGGTGCTCTTCTGGGCGCGTGCGACAGCGGAGGCGGGGAAGCGCAATACGTCAATGGAAGCTTCCAGGTGGCGGTGCCTGCCTAAGCTGGTTCAATAGCGCCCGAGTCTGGTGCTACCTTGCAGCGCGGGTCCTGAATCAGTGGCGACCGGAGCTTCCCTATTGATCGCTGCTTGTGTGCCGGGCAATTTGCTGACCCCATTCCTAGCCTGTGCCCCAACACGGAGCTGTCACTGCCAACCACACCCTTCCCCACCAACCTGCCTCGCGCAATAGGCCATCCGTCCACGCCAGCCGCCAGCCGCCCAGTCGCGCGCGAAGGGGCCATCAGGCAGACCACCGAGGAGAGTCCTGCGAGCTTCCGCAGCCTCTCTAGCCGCCGCCCGCCCGCCGTCACCGCCGCGCCGCCGCAACACTTCTCGGACGCAAAGCGGCACGCCGCCGCGCTGAGCAAGCAGCCATGGCGTCGCAACTCGACCTCGACCACGACACCATGGGCGAGAAATGCCCGTCGTGCAACGCGCTCCGCTACCTAAACCCGGACATGGTGCTCAAGACCAACGAGAAGTGCTACCACCAGATATGCGACACGTGCGTGCGCCACAACTACGAGAACGGCCAGGCACGCTGCCTCATCAAGGGCTGCGAAAAGATCCTGCGCATGGCCGACTGGCGCACCGCCTTCTTTGCCGACCTGGACGTGGAGCGCGAGGTGGACGTGCGCCGCCGCGTCGCCCGCATCTTCAACCAGACGGGCGACGACTTCGAGTCGCTGCAGGCGTATAACGACTACCTCGACATGGTCGAGACGCTCGTCTTTGACCTCGTCGGCACCGACCGCGCGAGGGCCACGGTCGCAGACGAGAACCTGAAGCGCTACGAGGCCGAGCACAAGGCCCAAATCGAGCGCAGCCGCCGTAAGGGCGCCGCCGCCGAGGAGCGCGCCCGCCAGCTGCGCGCCGCCGAGCAGGAGGCCGCCGCCGCCCGCCGCCGCGAGGCCCGCGATATCGACCGCGACGAGCAGCGCCGCAAGCTACTCGCCCACGAGGACGCGCTTGACACCCTCGCCCGCGCCCCCGAGGGCACCGCCGCCCGCATCGTCGAGCGCCAGCGCGACCAGCACCGCCTCGAGGCCCTAGCCGACGGCGAGGCCCGCGACCTGCGCGCGGCCGCCGGCGCCGGCGGCCTCTCCATCCGCGGTCTCAAGGAGAAGAAGAAGGCGGCGGTCGAGGGTCCTTACGATCCCTTTGGCGGCCTGGACCTGGGCCTGTCGCGCCACCAGCTCCAGGACACGTACCGCAACGACTGGCTCGAGACCTACAAGCACAAGCCCTCGCACGCCACGGGCGGCTACAGCATGCAGGAGTACTACGCCCGCGCCATGTTCGAGGCCTTTGCCGGCATCGCCGTCTTTGTCGAGGACGAAAAGGAGACGGGCCTCGTCACCAGCGGCCCCACGGCCGCCGCCGTTGCCACCCTTGGTGCCTCGCTGGCCGCTGTTAAAGGCACCGCCGGTCGCACCTAGACGGATGCCGGATAGCAGGCGGCCAAGGATGTGCAAGGGGGTTTACACCTCCCGCTCCAAGATACTTTTAAGTTTTCATTTTACGTCGTAGATATTCCGTTTTTTTGCATCGCGGAGGCGTCTGGCGCCTCGCACTTGTTTTTGGGTTCATGTTGGCTGGCAATCAATCAAGGATCAGCGGATACCCGCCGCTTATACTTATCAAGATACTTAGGTCGGTAGGTAGAGAACAAGGGAATGGAAGATAGATAAAATTTTCATTATATTTACCATTGCCCTGCGCATTTATTTTTCTCTTTTTCTCTTTTTTTTTCAGGTTGCTGATCGACTCTCGACTCAGGCGTTTTGGTGAGCAATTCGAGGTGAGTCGCCACAACGTCCACGTCCAAGCCTCCCATACAAGCACCGCTTTGTGTTTGTAAATACAAAGAACCAGATGGTTACCTAACGTGTGCGCTTGAGCTATGTGTTGCTGCTTTTGTGCTCGTGTTCGTTGCGCATGGAAGGGTGTTATTTCGAACCAAGTGAAGGTTGTTGGATAACCAAAAAGAGATAGAACAGAAGATATGAGAGGACTAAAAATAAAAGATTGGGGGGTTTAAGCAAATCACCGGTTCAACGCCACGCTTTGACTGGAGAAAAACATCGACATGGAAAATTGAGTTGAGGGGCGAGCAAAGAGCTCAAGTCTGCCAGGGACTCGAGGCCTGGGGACGGGGAAAGACGGGAATAGTCTCCAGTTGATCAAGACCACCGCCCACCGGTTGCTGGTTGTGTTGCCAGCCCATCCCGGTGGCGTGGTTTACGAAGGCGCCTTGCCGGAAGGGATTTGTGCTTCCAGTTGGCTGGGGTGCTAGCGCGCCACTGCTGGTCGCTGGCCCTGCAGCCGCAACTGCGCCCGTCCTAGCAAAAGGGTTGGTGCCAGTGGCCATTGGCTGTAGAGCCTGCCCCGACGGTGGCGGCGACTGGAAAGGTGATCCGGATGCGGCCGACTGCGGCATGGGCCGCGCAAACGGGTTCGTGGATTGTGCCTGTGCGACTCCCATGGCTTGTGCTCCGCCCATGAGCGGCTGCTGCGGTATGAGGCTGCCGCCGGTCGGCGAAGCCGACGTGAGCATCGACTGGCGGAAAGGGTTGGTTATCTGCTGGCCGCCGCCAGGCTGCATGCCACCGGTCTGCAAGTTCAGAGCCGAGAGCGTCCCGTTGGCCGGGAATGTGGCCACCGAGTCCTGAGGGATCGGCGCCAGCGAGCTCGGCTGGAAGGAGGCTTGGGGGGTATATCCACCAAAACCAGAGACGGCGCCTGTGTAGGCTGGCATCACTTGCTGTTGTTGCTGCCCAAGGTCTCCAAATGCCTGTTGTTGTTGCTGTGGCTGTCCAAGGGCCGCAAAACTCTGCTGCTGGAAGGGGTTTGTCGTCTGGAAGCCTGTCGGCTGCGCTGTTTGGAAGCCTGTTGGCTGGGCGGCGAAAGTGTTTGGCTGGAACTGCTGGCCCGCCGCCTGCATTTGAAACCCAGCCTGGCTGGTCCAGGGAGTCATCTGGGCCTGGGGCGGCAGTTGCTGGTTGGCCTGGACCGCCATCGTCGTCTGGTTCTGTTCGATGGAGCCGAAGAAATCGATCAGGTCCTGGTCCGGTCCCTTGCTTGCCGGTGCGGGAGCCGGCGCTGGTGCGGCTTCCTTTGCAGTTCCATTGGCGGAGCTGACGCCCGAGGGCTTGGTGGTGCCGTTCTTAGACCCGGAAAGCTCAGCACCAAAGGCCCTAGACGATCCAGAGCCGCCGCCGCTGCCCTTTGATTTCTTGGCATCTATCTCGGCCAGGTACTGTCTCCTGTGTACCTCAAAGTCGGGGTCCTTCAGGTAGTCCTCCAGCTGCCGGCCGAGATTCACCGGGGCGTGGCGCAACTTAGGCACCTCAACCCTCGTGTGATGCTCATGCTGCCTCGCGACGCTCAGATACTGGACCACATAATCTGTCTGGCGAGTAAATGTGCGGTAGATGCCCATAGCTCTTTCCGCGTCCACCTTGGACATTTCAAAAAAGTGGCCTACGGAGGGGCAGGTAGAATCCGACTTGTTAATAAGTCGACACTGAAACGGTCGCTGCGGAGCGAACGGAGCGAGAGGCTTACCGAGAATGTTGATCATAGCTTGGTTGAGCACTTGGAATAGGACAAGCAGATCAAGAACCAGCAGGCGAAAGACGGTCACGGTGATCTCGTTCTCGGGTTCATTCTCCATCACGTCGCACTTGAGGAGGGCTGTGAGCTGGTGCTGGACCGTCTCCGTTTCCCTCAAAAGACCCTTCTCGACCGACAGCTTCTCGAGGCGCGACTCCTTGGTGCGCACCCAGTCGCAGTTGGTGTCACGGAAGGCGCGGGCGCGCTCCGTGAGGTACTGGGCATAATGGCGTATATTCCGTCCCTGAGTCTGGGCTACAGAGCCAGACGTGATACAAGTGTCAGCGTACCGGGTCGGGGCAACCAGCACACTCGTGCGGGCGCGGGGCAGCGGCTAACCGTCGGAGAACATGCTTATCGCAAGCATGTTCCTGTGCTTGGCGAGATACGAGAGAGTAACGTCGGGTGACCCCTCGCGGATCATCAGGTGCACTGTGATCAGGCTCTTGAAGACGACGGTCCATGTTGAGTCTTGCAGACGGTACTGTAACGAGCGGAAGACCTCGCCAACGCCGGCGTCGCCCGCATGAGTGGCAATGAGGATGTGTTCGATGTACTTGGTCTTTGGGGGCGCGGCCTGGAGCAGAACAAAGCAAAGCCTGTCAGCGTCGAGCGCACGAGAAAACAGGCCGGCCAAGCGAGCGCTGGCGTCTCGATCCTGTCCCATCCGCCCTCGCTCCCCCTCCGTGTCCTGTCGGGCGCGGTCTGGGCCGGCCTGGTCATCTTCCAGCGACGACAGCGACGTACCTTTATTTTGGTAGCCCCCTTGACCGACTTCTCGAACGAGCTCGTCATCTTGCGCCTCGCCACCAACTGGGTCTGTGTCGGTCGTCCGGGAGAGCCCGGGCTGGAGCCGAGCGGTGTGTGAGGGTGCGGGTGCAGGAATGCGGGAGAATCGAGGACGGCGAGCGCGCGTAGCAGGATGCACGGATTTTGGTGGTGGAGGATGCGGCGCCAGCCTCGAGCCTGCGTTGACTACGCCCGCGGTTGCGGTGTGCTGGATGGCTCTGGAACGACTGGGCTGCAGGAAATGCCAGGGAAAGAAATATGCTGGACGAGGCGGTCGCTGATTTGGGCCGGCAGGGCTGAGTTAGCAAAGTGACGCAGCAGGTCTGGTGGTCGGTCGTTGGGCGTCTCCAAAGATGCCCATCAGCGACTCCCATCCACCAGGACCAGCACGCACAGCCGAAGCGCACTTACGGGTGGGTATCTGGGTCAATACCAATGCCCAGGGGTGTGTGTTCGGCCGGATACCAGGGTGCCGTGTGCTGGGGGTCCCAGGCCAGCGCACCATTGAGGCCTCACGTTTTTGTCCGCTTTGTCTTTATGGCTGCTCCAGCAGAGGCCACAGCGCCATCTCGTGTTGACTCCAGTTGGCTTCTTTTCCCATTATTTTCGCCCGCTTCGCCGCACATCGCATGTATATTAATATATTAATATCTCGCATACACATTGCGATCATTGCCATATTTCACATTTCCAAGCTCGTCAAGGTTCATCCTCATCTCTCATCTCCCGCTTGGTGCCCAAGGCCAGGCTAACAAGGCTTGTCCCTGGCTTCATGTCGACATTGTTTGGTCGCGAAAGGTTTGCCCGGTTCTCTGAAGGCCCGCGCTGAGCACGCCAAGCAGCATGACGAATGCTGCCTGCCACGGGATCCCGTTCTAATAAACTTCGTCCTGTCACCCTTCGTCACGCCGCTTTTGAGCCAAGAAGCAATGCCAACTGCGTAGCCCGACGCCACTGATAGACGGAATAAATTGTAGCCAAGACCCGTCGTTCGCAGAGTTTGACTAGAAGATGCTGGACGCGAATGCTAGCCTCTGGAATTATCGGTGCCGAGAGGTACCTTCTTGACATTTGGTGTTTCTGGTTTAACTGTGTATCGATACCTACCTCCTTACCTCCTCGCGCTGCTGGCTGGCCACCACACCAGAAGCCATGCACATGCAACCACCTCGCACACCACAGCACGTGCCTCTCCACCAAGCGCCTCCATCCCGTACCTTGTACAGTCGTGTGCCATGTGAGCCATGCGAGCCATGCTTCAAGAGTCGAAATAACCGAACCTGCATACAAAGCCGCAAAATATGCGAGCAGCCAAGTTCTTCGACTAAAAGGGCCATGTCGCGTACTGGCCTGATACGGAACTAGAGCTGCAGGGGAACATGGGCCGGGGACGATCAGAAGAAAAGCCAGAGGCAGGAAACCAACCCAAGGCCGCAAGGCAGAGAGGCAGAGAGGATGAGAAAAAGGGAGAGGCTTCCATGAAATTCAGGTTAATCAGAGTTGCCTTCATTGCGTCCGATGTAAACAAGGTCGAGTGTGTCGAACGCTTATTTCATAGCCCCGAACTTCCGTTACCATCCAGCCACTTGAGCCCACGAGGGGAGAGCTTGGACGGCTTGGGAAGACGGGGACATCATATAACCACGCTGGCTTTCATCATCTGTTCGACACTTGTTAGCGGCCTGATAGCACATTGCGCAGGTTTGGATTTAGGGAAGCCGGTGCAGGCCCTGCGCATACGTACATTGTTTTGAATTGGAAGGATGAAGAAGAAAGATTCAAATGGATGAAGCCCCAAACGCGATTGGCGGTGCTTTTGTGCTGGGGTTTTTTTTCTGCCGTAATGTTCCACCACAGAGCACTTCACCGCTTTCAGTGGGTCTCTAGCGGGTCTCCAGTGTTTGGTGGCGCCTTCCTGGGCTGCACTGGATGACTTTTATCGAGGATGGATGACCCCTGAGACTCGGTCAGTCAATACTTCTCACTCCACCATAGATGTTCAAATCTTTGATAGAGGGACATCCACTACAACCGGAACGGTTCTATGTAATAAGAACGGCTAGCGGCTGCCCTGGCTGTTCGAGCAAGACAGGTACATATTGAGGTCCTACAAATTGTCTTCTTGCTTTCCCTCTTCTGTCCAAACGAAGCCAACTGCTGCCAACGAAACCTGTCCCCGTCCCCCTTTGAATACTGAAGGAGGAAATACAGGGATTGGGTACCAGATATTCTGCGAAGTAGCATGTTCACATCCTGTGAACTATCTAGTTGTGCTGACCTTCTCCCGCAGGCAGTACCTGTCGACCTAAGTGCCTATTGGCAGCCCGGCTACCTAGGCTCTCTGTTCCTTGTCCCACGTGCCGTTCGCAGACGCAAGAACGTTGCATGGACTCGCTGGCGCCATTCTTCCCCTTGGTCTACGACTAGAAGGGCTGTATCGGTGTCTGCCTACTTCCCTCCTGAAGCTGTTTGGCCAGGCCAGGTCAAACCAGCCATGACGGCCTTAGGCCTCGCCGTGGCAAGACGCGCAGTTCGCGCAAACTTGTGTGCAGCAAATACTGCCCTTTCCTTCTGGACCCGGCCTCTCACTGCTACTCCTTTGTTCGGCTCTTTCGGACGCAGGCCCCTTTTCTCCCAGTCTACGGCGCCAACCACGGCTGAGTTTTCTGAAAGCTGGGAGGAGTATAAGAAGTTCTGTGCGTCGACACGCACCCCCACCCGTTTCCCATCCCGTAGTTTGATCGCCAACTGAACGAGATATGCTCTAGTCAGTTTTCAGCCGGCCTCCCCCGCCAGCGACTTCAATGTTGATCAAATAGTCACCGTCCACGGGTTCCTGGGTAAACGGCGAGATCGTTCACAAAAGCTCAGTTTTGTGGATATCGCAGTCGATAACGGGCCCAGGCTGCAGCTATCCTCGGGGTATCTTGAGAGAGACACCCCGGCTCACCAAGCTCACAAGGACCTCCGCTCAGCGCCTGCCTGGAGCCCTGTCTCAGTTACTGCCCGAGTGACTGGCCTGCACCAACATCAAGACAAGCCGACGCGATCCTGGGATTCAAAGTACCCATCTGGTATCGACGAGATCAGTCTTGAGCTAGTGTCTATCCAGGTCCTCAACCCCTGGCCCAAGCATGTCATCGTGTCCGAAGGTGTCCAGTTCCCGCAAACAGCCCGTCATCTCCAGCTACGCTTCTCGGATGCCCTTCGTGAGAGGATACGGTTCCGGGAGCACCTCAAGTTTGTCGCAACAGACTGCCTCCGCGACGAAAGCTTATGCGAGACTGAGACTCCTCTCCTGTTCAAGTCGACCCCTGAGGGTGCTCGCGAATTCTTGGTCCCAACCAGACGATCTGGCCTCGCCTACGCCCTCCCACAAAGCCCACAACAATACAAGCAAGCGCTAATGGCCGCGGGCTTCGGAGGCTACTTTCAGTTTGCCCGCTGCTTTCGAGACGAGGATCTTCGTGCCGACAGGCAGCCCGAGTTCACACAGGTGCGTCCTAAACAGCATATCTGTATATTGTGGATAGGTTTGCTCTGACGGCGCCGGCATCTGTTAACACCCAACTTGCGGCTCGTTCACACAGCTCGATCTTGAAATGGCATTCGCAACAGGCGAGGATGTGATGGCGACGGTCGAACGCCTCATAACCCGACTATACAATGATGTGGCCTCAGGTTTTGTTCAAACGGCAGGCTCGCCCGGAAAGGAATGGTATCCAGTTCGGCGCGGTCGGCAGGGGGTGAGTATCCAACATACATACTAGACTCTGAAATGTCTAGATGCTATATGAGAGTGCGTAACTAACGTTGGCTTTGTCTCGGCATCAAAGATTCAGAGAGGCACCACTAAATCGGAGCAAGAGTACCCGGCTCTCGTCAATGGCCCGTTCCCTCGCATATCTTACCAGCAGGCTATGTCATTGCACGGCTCGGACAAACCGGATATACGGATCCCTGGACAGGTACTCACTCTCCTTCCCTTCTGCTGGCCCCTTCGTGGTAGCACTCACCGCAAGTCACGCAGGAGCTGACGGGCAATTAGATTCAACGGGTCGAGAATCTCCTTGCGCGTGATTTTACCAGCAAGATCTCGTCACTCGATAACCCAGTTGTCGACTGCTGGCGTTGTAATTTCCCGGCTGCTGGCCCCAAGGAGACCCGCAATTTCGTGATCAAGTTCCTCGAGAGTCTCCCGGGAGTTCTCAAACGGAACCCCGACGGAGAGCCCGTAGTTCTCATCTGCGACCCCAGCCAGCCACTCCAAGGCTTCTCTTCTCTCGGATTCGAGGCGGGAGCTGATCTCACCGACGGAATGGAGGAGGGTGAGTTCCTCCTCATACAGGCGCGGCCCAACCGGCCATTTGAAGGCAGCGGCACCGCGCTTGGTGCTATTAGGGCCATGCTGTACAACGAAGCCGTGGCAGCAGGACTCCTTCCACGCAGCGAGAAGTTCGAGTTTCTGTGGGTTACAGGGTTCCCTATGTTTACGCCCAATAACAACGTCGACCCGGGCCAGGGCGGGTCGGCCGGGTTTTCCGCGACGCACCATCCGTTCACCGCCCCTCTTACGTCGGAGGACTTCGAGCTGCTCGCGACAGACCCCCTTCGGGCCAAGGCGGACCACTACGATCTCGTGGTCAACGGCACGGAGCTCGGAGGCGGCAGCCGTCGTATCCACGTAGCGCACGTGCAGGAGTTTGTGTTCCGGAACATCCTCAAAATGACGGACCAGGGGGTGCGCCAGTTCACGCACCTACTGGAGGCTCTTACTGCGGGCTGCCCGCCACATGCTGGGTTCGCCTTGGGTTTCGACCGTCTCGCGGCGGTCCTGAGTGGCACAACCTCGGTTCGAGACGTGATCGCGTTCCCCAAAACGATGAAGGGCGAGGAGCCATTTTCTGGGAGCCCCAGCCCGTTGACAGAAAGCCAACTGGAGACATACCATCTCCTCATCAGGAAGCCATAGGGCAAGAGCCCCTGAGCTCACCGGCCCACTCTCTCCTCTCCCCGGTGTACTACTATCTCAGCGTATAACATACATCTTTCAACGTTTGTAAGATGCAAGGCTTGCGCCAATGTCTTCACATGCACAGGGACAGACCGGAGCCAGCTTTACCGCCGGGTTGAATAGTGTCAATCTACACAACGAAGGCACCCGATAAAGTTAAAAAAAACATGTTCAATACTAATATTCCGTGGGCAACCCAAGCCTTTCACGGATGAATCCCTATATGGCGAGTCGTCTTTGGGCGCCCGAGATATCAAATGAGCCCCTCCACGACAGCACAAAGCTGCCAGCTTCCGCCTATCACATCGGACAGGACTGATCCAGAAGAAGAAACAAAAAAAAGTCAAGGTACTAAGAATTGAGGTGCCACCTATACACGTCTACGGGAGGTCCATTTCGTCGGGTTTGATGTCGACAACGACACCACGCGTCCGTGCACTGGACCCACCGCGTCTCCACCCAAATTGTTCTAACCGTTGGCTGCGCAGGCCGCAGCCTCGCCGATTGCTTCTTCGATGCCGTCAGTGTCGCCCAAGATCCATCAGGTACCTTTTGCGCACGCTGGCTGCCCGGAGATCACTACGCATCTGGAAGTACCAGTCTGGTACAAAGCTAGCTCTAGGTACGGTGCCACCTGATATCCATGCCTAATCCCCCTACCACCTCAAATTATATATATCTAACCTAGGCGATCCCTTTGCTCCAAAGCCTCCCTCCGTCATTCGACTTGCTTGGCCGCACGCGAACAAAGACCGACGCTCGCGCTAAACTCCCGCGACGACTTGCGCCGCCTCTTTGTCCAAGCCACGACGGTGCATATCCATACCGACCGACGACGAGCCCCGTCTAAAGCGACCACCACAGCTATCCCTAGGGGCCTGACGACCGTCGATATTCGTGCCGACCGACCCCGTTCTCTGATCCCTTCCGTGGCCTAAGCCCCCGGACATCATGGATGACAAGGAGTTGCTGAGGAGCATCAAGGAGCTCGTCAAGGCAATCCCCAACGAGCCTCCGGAGGTGGTGATCCGGATGCTCGAGAACTTGAAGAAGGCGTCGCCTTCTGAGGACAGCCTCAGGGTATGACGATGACGACACCCACCCCTCCCTTTGCGCGCTAGGATCGCGCGACAGCGACTGACTGTGCTGCCCAGGCAACTAAAGCCGGTGTCGTAGTCGGCAAGCTACGGTCCAACGCCGACAAGAGTATCGGACGCGTGGCGGCCGAGGTGGTGAACAAATGGAAGAAGAACGTCGAGGCCGAGAAGGCGAAGAAGGCGGGCCGCGGCCAGGGCTCGTCGCCCGCCGCCTCGCCGACCACGGCAACAGCCCCCGCGCCGCCGCCCACAATGAAGAGCAGCAAGCCCTGGACCGGCGACGCATCGAAGCGGAAATGGGACACGGACGGCGTCGACAAGAAAAGGACAGGCAGCGCGACGCGTGACAACATCATCGGCCTGCTCTACAACGGCCTGGCCTACATGTCGTACGCCCCCATCGACGACATCCTGGTCAAGGCCATCGAGGTGGAGAGCGCGGCCTTCAAGGAGTACAATGGCGAGACTGCCGACTACCGCACCCAGATGCGGTCGCTATTTTCAAATCTTAAAGCAAACCGGGAGCTGGCCAAGCGCGTCTTTGCTGGCGACATCGCCACCGCCAAGTTTGTCAAGATGACGTCCGACGAGCTCAAGTCGGACCATCTCAAGAAGAAGGAGGAGGCGCTGGAGAAGGAGAACATGAAGAAGGCCCAGGTCCCCATGGTTGAGCGCTCCATCAGCGACGCCCTCGAGTGCGGCAAGTGCAAGCAGAAGAAGGTCAGCTACACGCAGGCCCAGACGCGCAGTGCGGATGAGCCGATGACCACCTTTTGTGAATGCACCGTCTGCGGCAACCGGTGGAAGGTATGTACAAATTCCTCTCCCTATCCTCATCTAACTTCGTGGTTCATTCCTAACACTAACTTTTCTCAGTTCTCGTAACCCCTGGACCTTGGTGTTTTGGCATCACCATGTCCCGGCATGTCTTCCCGTCTACCTCCGTCAAATCCCGGGTTCCAGGCAACATCCATGGCGCTAATGATCACGGAAAAGGACGTTAGTTAATGTAGCCTTCACCGCGTGTGTTAGGGCAGATGCTAGCTAGAGCGTGGCAAGCATCATTTCCGTACCTATATCTGAATTTTGGAATTTCGTATCCTCCCTTTCCCTCTTTCCACCCTTTCTTTCTCATATCCAGACGTTTCACTTTCTATTTTCTATCGCCGTTGAGTCACCGCAACGGGTAGGCCAACTGGGACCGGGCTGGAGTTGAGCGGATTGGCAAGGTGTTTATTCTTTATCTTTATTTTGATTATCCCTGGCCGCGCGATCTCTGGCACTGGATCTGACTTGTGCATTTTCCAGGCCCGCTTTCTCGCATGAATAGCAAGGCAAAATGCTCTGACCTTGCAGCGCCAGAGGCACTTTTTAGGCAGGATACTGGCCATGTAATGGCCGCGATGGATGGACCGGACTGGTCTTGTGCACCGAGCGAGAATTGGCAATGGGATACAAGCCCGTCGCCTAGACTCTCAGCATGTCACAGGGAAGCTAGGCGGTAACCAGAGACTATCCTGTTGGATCGTCGCTCATGGGGCTGCCCCGTTCTCAGATTGTCCACTTGATGACCCTACCGCGCGCGGCTTCTCCAAAAGGGCAAAGAGGTCAGCGGTCCTATCGAGGCGGTGCGGCTCTTCAAGCCCCACGGACGTGATTTGCTTATAGAAGCGACTAAGATGGCGGGAGCCCGAGTCGCACAGGACCGTCACAACCTGACTTCCGCGAGGGAGCTTGCGGGCGGTCATGACGGCCGCCACGCAGTTGACGGCGCTACTGCTGCCGACGAAGATGCCGTCGTGCTCCACCAGCCAGCGGGCCATGACGCAGGCCTGCTCGTCGGTCACGCGCACGGCGTCGTCGATCAGCTCGCGGCCGGCCTCGAAGTTTGACGTGAGCCACTTGAGCCCGACGCCCTCGACGATGGTGTCGACCTGCTGCCGCCGGCGCGTCCCCTCGCGCTCCGAGGACGAGTACATGACGCCGTGCTTGACCTTGTTGTACAGGCCGCTGCCCTGCGGGTCCGCCAGCACGATGTGGGTGGCGGAGAGCCCGGCCTCCTCCTTGAGGTGCAGCGCCACGCCCGATATGGTGCCGCCGGTCCCGGCGCCGGCGACGAAGGCGTCGATCCGACCGCCCGTCTGTTGGACGATCTCGGGCCCGGTCGTGGCCATGTGGGCCCTGTAGTTGGCCGGCGACTCGAACTGGCCGGCGTAGAAGCCGACGCTGCCGCCGGGCGCGGCCGCGGCGGTATGGCTCTCAGCGCGCGCTTTGGCCAGGTTCACAAAATGGCGCTTATCGGCGATGGGGGCGACGGGGACGCGCTCGACCGTCGCACCGAGGTGCAGCAGCAGGTCCGACTTCTCGTGGCTCTGGTCGTCGGGCATGCATATGTGGGCGCGGTAGCCCCTGGCGCGGGCCAGGATGGCGAGGGAGATGCCGGTGCTGCCGACGGTCCCCTCGTATATGGTGTCGCCGCGGCCCGGGACGAGCAGGCCACGCTCCTCGGCGTCGAGGATCATGCTCAGGGCCACGCGGTCCTTTGGGCTGCCGCCGGCGCCGTTGAGGAACTCGGCCTTGGCCAGGATGGTGCACCCCGTGGCCTCGGACAGGCTGCGGAGCTTGACCAGGGGCGTGCCCCCAATGCACTGCTCGATGCCGTCTCTGACGTCAGTGCCCAGCGCCCCTGAGCCTGCGACGGCGGGGCCGCCGGGCGCGTCGCGGTCCTGCAGCCGCATGGGGCCGAGCCCCAGCTGGCCGAATAGGCTTCGCCGGCGCGGGTCGTCGGCCCTGGACTTGCTTCCGCCCCTGTACCGCCTCTCCAGGTCTGGGTAGAGGTCTTTGAAGCCCAGCGTGACCACCACGCCGGCCATGAAGGCAGCCGCCACTGCCGCAGTGCCATAGGCTTTGGGATGGTCCAATAGAGACATTTTGTTAGATGCCGCTGTTTCAGGTCCTTCCCTTCCCTTCCCTTTCCGTTCCTTCACCTAGGCCCTTAGATAATGGGACCCATGAGTAGATATACTATTTAGAGCCTGCGGATATGTGATGTAAAAGGTCAGGCTCATCAAGGACGGGAAGTTGGATGTAACCATGGACGAGTTCTGTGTTAATCAATAGGGCGAATCGGACACAACAAAAGCCTAGGGTATCAAAGGAGGGGGTGGATCCATGATCCGTCTGGTCTTTTGCTGGGATTTTTTTCCCGTCTTGAATGGGCTTGAATGTGGAGGGAGCTTGGGCCAAGCCACCGAAATTCAATCTGCTCCAGCAAGCTTGATGCGTGCCTGTCCCGCACCGCCGATCAGCTCTGGCTGCGAGCTCTCGACCTGACCTGAGGTACCTTGGCTGTCGCGGCGAGATAGCCAGCCTCGGACGAGGAAAGTACCTATACTAGCCGGTGATCCTCCCTGGTCGCCCCCTCGGGATCCGCCCACATATCCTATCATTGAGCTGCGCCTCGGCTTCCAGAAGAGCTCTCCTCCTCGCTCCTTGGGCGGAAAAGACAGGCTCAGGGCTCTTGATTTACCCTGTAGGTACCTGCTCGGTATCCTGCTACGCGGCTTACGCGCCCGCACATTGCCGGAATGGACTCGGCGATTCTAGCCCAGCTGTTCAAGCAGCTGTTCCGCCACCCCGCATGCGCCAGGCAGCACAGGCTGGCGGCAGCGGCGCGGCCCTTTGCGACATCGACTGCGCCGGCTTCCGGGAGCGGGCGCCGGCCGCGGACCGCCCACTCGAGGCACCATCGCCATGGCGGGCCCGCCGCGCCATCCGGGCCGCAGAAAGGAACGAGGGGCTACGCAAGCCACCGCGGGCCCAAGTCGACGGCCCAGACCGATGCCAACTGGCAGCAGCGCACCGATATCTTCACGGCAGACCGTTCTGGCGAGTTCGACAGCTACCCGACCGTCACGGCTGCCGAGCTTCGGGGGCGCAGGGAGCGCCCGCGGCGGGTCAAGATGCTCACGCGGGACTTCATCGAGGACAGCCTGTACAACCCCAACTACGGCTACTTCTCCAAGCAAGTCGTGATCTTCAGTCCCGGGGAGCCCTTCGACTTTACGCGGCTGCGCGATGAGAACGCCTTCCATAAGCTGCTGGGACAGCGCTATACCGACTTTGAGGACGGGCTTGATGCCGAAAAGCCCTCGGACACGCGCCAGCTGTGGTACACCCCGACCGAGCTCTTCCGCCCCTACTATGGCGAGGCCATTGCGCGCTACCTCATGGCCAACTACATCCTGTCATCATATCCCTACCATGACCTCGTCATATACGAGATTGGCGCCGGCCGGGGCACCCTGATGCTCAACATACTTGACTTCATTCGGGATACGGAACCGTCTGTCTACGACCGCACAAAGTATCGTATCATCGAGATCTCTTCTAGTCTGGCAGACCTTCAGTCTCGCCAGCTCCTGCGCTCCACCAACTCGCGCGGCCACGCCGACAAGGTCGAAATCATCAATGCGTCCATTTTCGACTGGAACCAGCCCGAGCCCGACCCCTGCTTCTTCCTCGCTTTCGAAGTGTTTGACAACTTCGCTCACGACTGCATCCGCTACGACCTTGCCACCGAGCAGCCCATGCAGGGCACTGTCCTGATCGATGGCCTAGGGGACTTTTACGAGTTTTATGTTCCCCATCTTGATCCCCTCGCCGCTAGATTCTTCCGCGTCCGCCACGCCGCCACTGCAGGTCGTCATCCCACTCCCTATCCGACCAATCGGATGTTGCGCTCTCTGCGGGCTAACCTGCCCTTCACCGCCAATCTCAGCTCTCCAGAGTACATCCCCACTCGGCTGATGCAGTTTTTTGACGTCCTGGACCGCCACTTTCCCGCCCATCGCCTGGTTACAAGTGACTTCCACTCCTTGCCTGACACAACCCCTGGCCTGAACGCTCCCATTGTGCAGACGCGATACCAGCGCCGACCAGTGCCTGTGTCAACCCCCCTGGTACGCTCCTATGTCCCCTCCAACTTGGTTTCTCATCCTCCTCAGGGCTAATCAAAGAAAACGCCCCTCACAGGTCCATCAGGGATACTTCGACATTATGTTCCCGACCGATTTCGGAGTGATGGAAGCAATGTACCAAGCAATTACCGGAAGACTAACTAGAGTGTCTTCCCATGAGGATTTTATGCGCCGCTGGGCCTATGTTGAGGAGACGCAGACTCGGAGCGGAGAAAACCCACTCCTAAGCTGGTTTAAAAACGCTAGTGTAATGACGACCTTGTAAATCTATAGAGGTTTATTTGTACCTGTGTATATTAGCACCAGGCGACTTGACCACATACATGTGGCCGTGAAAATCGCGCAACAGAGGGAAATGATCGGAATAAAGAGAACAAGAGACCGAGCATCAACAGCATAGCGCGACTTTGAGGCGTTGAAGTGGGTGAATTGGCATCTGGTGCTAATCATGGTGTCCCGCCTAGGACATGCGGCGATGGCGGGCCGGGCGTGCATCCGAGCCCGTGCTATAGTCAGAGTCGATGCTGGACCGCCCCTGGTCTGCGTAGTTGGCCTCGGCATCAAAGTTCATCAGACCGATGCTCTCTTTAGGGTCGGCTCGGCCTCGCTTGCTCCGGCTAGAGCCAAGCTTTTGGTACCCTCCACGGCGCGCGCGGCTCATGATATTGCCCACCCCAATGTTTCTGTACTTCTTGCCCCACACGAGGGTGCCGACCAGCATCAACGTGATAAAGCCGAATATGATAGGCAGTCCAATGTACAATTCAGCGCCGGATGGGGCTGTCGACGGCGGCTGCCTGAACGGCTGAAGTTTCGTGACAAAGACGTCTGGGCCCCTGACCGGTGCATGGCTGGAGTTGGTCATTGGCAGGGTCCGAAAGCCAATGCTGATGTTGACGCCGGCCGTATGCTGCATGATCTCGCGGTCGACCGGCCAAGCGTAAAATGCCTTGTTGACTGGGAGTGGAGAGGAAGCAAACGCATCCTCTTTGGATAAAGCACCCGTTGTCGCATTTCGGCGGCTGCCGAAGACCACTATGGTCGTGTTGCTGCTAGGGAAGAATGCCGGGTCCCAGGTAACTGCCAACAAACAGAAGATATCAGGATCAAGCTCGACCAAGCAACGCATTGCACCGCCCGAAGCCCGAAGCCCGACCTTGATCTCAAATATGGAGCCGAAACCTACTGTAGTATGTGGTCTCTGGGTGCACTTGGCTACCTGGGGAAGGGAAGCAAAATGGCGCGCCCGACCCAGCCTTATTGTGACAAATCGGGAACGCACCCGCCTTCGAGTTGGCGTCTGCGGTGGGCAAGGACCGACCAGTGCTCGTCGTGACACTAAAGGGAGAGGGGACAAAATTCGGTTAGCTCTCCGAGGCTTGCGATGTTGGTGAGGTCACTATATGCAGACATGTGGTATAACTTACTACCCGTGGATTATTGTTCTCCGTACTGTCGCCGTGATTTCGAACGGGGCAGCGTCAGACACTGCCGTCGGCGTTCCGCTGACGGTGCTCATGACGGGGGTCATCGTCTTTGGGACGCCCGAATCGTCGACACTAACCCAGAGGTCGTCTGCGGCCGCCACGCCATGGCACAAGCACAGGGCAAGGAGCCCCTGAAAGGAGAGACTCGAGCGGAACATTATTGGGACTTGCCGGCTAAGTATCAGAAAACGGCAACAAGAGGGAATAGCGCAGGCCGGGAAAGTGTATGCCAACGTCTAGGTGCTAGCTGTCGAGGTCGTCTCTTGCCTTGGAGCTATGGCGGTTGGTGCATGATATTTATTAGGACTTGGTGATCCTTCGAAGCGGGCCGAGCGCGTCGTGGATGGATCAACACGCGGCCAGGGGTAGAATCGATTATAATCAGCTCCATAAAACGTGGCTTTCGAGAAGGCTTCCACCCCTGCCCCCACCTCCAAAAGCATTGCAAGCTGGGAAATTGAGCCTGCAGGACACAATTGCAGCGATACGGACAGAGGATATTGCAGGGGCGGGTTGATCCAGGAAAAGTGAAAACCAGCCAAGGTGAATTCAGAGGCGGCTGGGCTGGTGATGACTGGTGTTTACACAGCATGAACCACACAAGGTGCCTTGGCACATCGGAGCAAACTCTTGATGACGAGACCAGCTGCCCTTGCATGCCCGTTCAAGGGGTGGATGGGCCACAGACCCGCTGATTTGAGATTTACGCGCTGTTATCGCTTATCGGCACGTGCAATAGGCCGGGGGCGGCCGCGTTTTGGTGTCGGCCGGCGTGCTGAAGGAGAAAGCTGAGCAACTCCTCAGCCCTGCTCCATGCTCCATCCCTCACCAAACCAGCATCCTGCTGCGGCGACCGAAAAAAAGAACGATAATGGTGCCGGCTGGAGCAGTTACGGAGAGCTTGTCCCACCGCTCCAACTGCCGCTGCCACATTCTCCCATAGCCGCCCCTCGACTGTCGTGTCTTGTCTGTCGGCCTCTCCTGGCCCCAGTCGCACGTTTGCGCCCCCGACACTCTTTGGCCGCCTCACCCCGATTTCTTCGCCAGACAAAGGGTACGTCGGAGCTCTATTCCTCACGTCGCTACCCACCACCCGGCATGACCTGCCCTGCTCTCCTACGCGGACCACGCTCATCCCCACAATGGGCTTGCCTGGGAAACCAAACTTAAGACGTGTAATAACTCCGATTGCCCTCTTAGCAAATAAGCCCACCGCGCTCTTCAGAAGCTCGTCGCGTCCCCTTGCCGCTGTGCGGCACGTCATCGGTGGCAGATGAACCCCCAACCGCCCCACGGCAGCGGCTTCGACCGTGAGCGTGATCGCGACCATCGCGACCGTGACGCCGAGGAACAGCGTCTTCGCCCCCTCCACCAAGACGATGCGCCTCACCACGAACGCGATCGCGAGCTCTCAGATCGCCAACAGCGCGACAGAGAATCATACCAACCCGGACCCCCTCACCACAGTTCTGCAGGCTCTCTGCCCATACACCAGCCCGTCGCGTCTCGCATTTCGGGTGTTATCCACAGCCCTGGCGGTATCCTAGGCGCTCATAACGGGGCGCCTTCGTCCAATATCGGGCTGGGTCCGCCCTCCGGAGCCCAGGGGTCTGGCTTTGCAGGCCCTTTACACGGCGAGGCAGGTCGCCAGGTCCCACAGCACTCGGGAAGCAACCCCGCGGGCCAGCAGCATCAGATGTTTGCGCCCATCCCTCCGGCACAGGCCCCTTCTGGCGGCCCTGGCGTGGCCGCGGGCAGCCCTGGTGGCGGCGTCTTTGGCGGTCCACTGCAGCCCGAGAACTCCCGGGCCCCTGGCCAAGCACAATTTTCTCAGGCCGCTCATGCCAACTCGTCCACATCGGGTGGCATTGCCCAGGGCCAGCAGCCCATTCTCAACGACGCCCTTAGCTACCTCGATCAGGTAAAAGTCCAGTTTCACGAAAAGCTCGACGTTTACAACATGTTCTTGGACATTATGAAAGACTTCAAGTGCCAGTCGTAAGTGGCTTCACGCTGTACCCGCTAGTCTACCATTATATGTTTGCCTCGGCTGACCTGAATGAAAGAATCGATACCCCAGGCGTCATTAGTCGAGTGTCCGAGCTCTTTGCCGGTCACCCAAACCTCATCCAAGGGTTCAACACATTTCTCCCGCCCGGCTACAGGATAGAGTGTGGCCTGGAAAACAATCCGAACAGTATCCGCGTCACGACTCCCTCGGGTTCCACCATCCACTCGATTGGCACGGGAAAGGCTACACAGCAGCATCAGCAACAGCAGCCGCCGCAGCAACCGCAAGTGGACGGCACAACAGGTCCACATGGTCCGGCCAGCGCCTACGTGGGTCATGCTCAGCGCCCAGGGAATTGGCAACCTCTGGTGCACCACAGCATAGAAAGTCCTGAAGCCCAGTTCAGTGCCCCAACTCAGCCTGGACCAGGAGCCTTCAGCCAGTCAACCGCGCCCGCCGGCCAGTTTGATGGTCACAGTCCAGCACACCAGCAGCGCGTCGTTAGCCAAGGCCAGCAACCTGCTCCCGCTGTGCCAGGGCCGAGCTCTGTGCCTACCCAGATGGCTAGGAACGCTCAGACCCCGACCCCCGCCGCACAACAGTCCGGGCTCAATGGCGCTGCCGGTCAGCAAGCTGGGACCCGAGGGCCGGTCGAGTTTAACCATGCCATCAGCTATGTCAACAAAATCAAGGTATGTTCTCTGGCACGCTCGAGACTGGTGCATCTCGGCCATATCCTCGCGCCGCTGACTGAGATTTGACCAACAGAACCGTTTTCAGGACAAGCCAGAGATCTATAAACAATTCCTCGAAATCCTCCAGACGTACCAGCGCGAACAGAAGCCGATTCAAGACGTATACGCCCAAGTCACGACGCTCTTCCACACGGCCCCAGACCTGCTGGAGGACTTTAAACAGTTCCTACCCGAGTCCGCGGCCCAGGCGAGAACCGTCGCTGGGCAGCGCCACGCCGACGATGGCACCCTGCTGAATCATCTCACTCAAATCCCACCACCGAGCCACTCGGCAAGGGACGGCCCTAAAATGCCGCCTGTGGGCAATTTCGCCGTGCCCGTCAGTGCGAGCAAGGAGAACAAGAAACGCCCACGGCCCGAGAAGCAGCAGGTGTCTGCCACAACACCCCAGGCGCAGCCTTCGCCAGCTGCGGCAACACTGTCGGCCGTTGGCGCCATGAACAAGCGGGCAAAGGTGTCGCACAAGCCGGCCGTGGAGGCCCCGTCAATCGAGCCCTCGCTGACTCCCATCGCTCCCGAGCCGCTCGCGCCCGAGCCGCCCTCCTCGGTAACCCAGGACAAGGCCTTAGCCAATCTCGACCGCATCAAGAAGCACATTGGCAACAGGACGACACTGCACGAGTTTCTCAAACTCATAAATCTATTCACCCAAGGGCTCATCGACAAGAACGTTCTGGTTCACAAGGCGCAGCTTATAATCGGAGGCAACGTCGAGTTGATGACCTGGTTCAAGGACTTTGTGCGGTACACTGGCGATGACGAGCTGGTGGAAAATAAGCCCGAACCTCCCAGCGGGAGGGTCTCGCTGAGCAACTGCCGTGGATACGGGCCGAGCTACCGCCTGCTACCGAAGAGGGTGAGTGATATAGCCCCCGAGGGCGCTGAAAGTCCTGCTAACGCCAACTTTTCCTCCCTTAGGAACGCCTCAAGCCTTGCAGTGGCCGCGACGAGCTTTGCAACTCGGTCCTGAACGACGAATGGGCCTCGCATCCCACTTGGGCGTCGGAAGACTCTGGCTTTGTTGCGCATCGGAAGAACGCCTTCGAGGAAGGGCTGCACAGGATCGAGGAGGAGCGCCACGACTACGACTTCTTCATCGAGGCTAACCAGAAGTGCATCCAGCTCCTGGAGCCAATTGCGCAGCAGATGCTCACCCTGTCACCAGCCGAGAGACAAAACTTCAGAATGCCCCCCGGTCTAGGCGGCCAGAGCACGTCGATCTACAAGCGTGTCCTTAAAAAGGTCTACGGATCGGAGAAGGGTGCGGAGGTTGTTAACGACATGTTCCAGCACCCATTCACCGTTGTTCCCATCGTCATGGCTCGTCTCAAACAGAAGGATGAGGAGTGGCGGTTCAGCCAGGTATGCGCCAAGCCCGATCAGTCCGGTGACCACAATGGATGGCACTGGTGTCAGACTAACATGACAACTTCCTATTGCAGCGCGAGTGGGAGAAGGTGTGGCAGAGCCAGACCAAGACGATGCATCTGAAGAGCCTCGACCATCAGGGGATCCAAGTCAAGTCCAACGACAAGCGCAACTTCTCGGCTAAGCACCTCGTTGATCTAATCAAGACCAAGCACGAAGAGCAGAAGCGCCTGCGGATCAACAAAGGCAAAGCCCCCAGGTATCAGTATCTCTGGTCCTTCGCAGACCAGGGAGTGCTCCTGGACCTCATTCGGTTTATGGTGCTGTATGCCATGAACAGCGGGCAGCACGGGGCATCGGAAAAGGACCGCATCTTGGAATTTTTCGAGACCTCCATCCCGCAGTTCTTTGGGATCCACCCCGATCAGGTCCGCCAACACCTCATTGACATTGATCGCGACGCGGGCGAGGAGGAGGCCGACGACAGCGCGCCCGCGGAGCTTTCCAACGGCCGCAGTCGCCGTAACGGCAAGAAGTCGGATCTACTCCGCGGTCTCCTAGACCCAGGCCGAAACGGTAGCAAAACCCGGAGCCACAACGAGGATAGCGCCGCCTCTGCTAGCAAGGAGACGACGCCCGATGTGGGCTCGGCCAACGAGGAGGATGCGGCCGATGCACCAGAGGATGGTGCAGGGGCGGACATTGCCAATGACCGCTGGCTCCCGACGGTGCCCGGACCAGTGGTCGTCTCGGGCAAAAATCCCGTTCCCGGGCTGGACGCCGAGCTGAAGGCAGACTGCTTCTTCCCGCGGCCCTGGTACAACTTCTTTTGCAACCAGACAATCTTTGTCTTCTTCAGCGTGTTCCAGACGCTGTACCAGCGGCTAAAGCAGGTCAAGGAGAGCAAAAACAGCGTCCTCGAGGAGATCAGACGGGAGAAGGCCGACAAGCCAGCTCAGCAACTCGGTCTCGTGCATGATGAGATGAACTACTTTGAGGATAACTCCGATACCTTCTGGCCACGCACCGTGGAACTCATCGAGGACTACATCACGGGAGAGATTGACGAGAGCAAGTACCAGGATGTTTTGCGTCACTACTACCTCAAGAGCGGATGGACGCTTTACACCATTCAGGACCTACTCAAGACGCTTTGTCGGCAGGCCCTTGTCTGCAACAACTCGGACTCCAAGGAGAAGACACCAGACCTCGTGCACCAGTTCCTAGTCGCCCGAAGCCAGGAGGAGACGAGCTACCAGACTGAGATCAGCGCCCGCAAGTTTGCTGAGAAGTGCATCAAGGACGGAGAAATGTTCCTGATTACCTGGGTAAGTGACAGGTCCGCCCTTGCCAGAAACTTGACGTGTCTTCGCATCGCTAACACGACTCCACGTCCATCCTACAGGCACCAACAAGCAACGAGGCCAGCGTACGGTGGCTCCAAAAGGATGACACCACGTTCCACGTGGATGAAATGGAGCCCGCAGAGCGCTGGAAGTACTACATCTCGTCGTACATGCGCGTCGAGTCCACCGAAGGAGTACCCCGGTCCCGCCTCCAGAAGTCTCTTCTGACCCGTAACCTACCGTCCAACGACGCCGACTCGGACGACGGTCAGATGCCCAAGCCCATCGCGTTCCACGAAGGCCTCACCCTCCGGATATGTCTCAACTCGTCAAAAATCGTCTACGAGAAGAACACGTCGGAGTACTTTGTCTACAACACGATGCCATCGGCCGAGGACGAGCGGGCGAAACGACAGGAAAGGGCCGCCTTTGATGCGGAGCGGCGGGCACAGCTGTTCCGAGAAAAAATGATCATGAACAATGCCTGGATGAAGGACATGAGCCAGGACGAGGTGCAGGGGATCAACGAGGACTTCCAAAAATGGGCCAAGGACGGTGCCCTGCCCAGCGGAGCGAATGGTGGCGAGGCTGACGTTCCGATGGCTGCCTAGTCAACATGGTCTGGTCTTCCTCCTGTCTCTCTCGGCTCCCCTCCGCTTGGGTGCCGGCCTTTGGTGCTGTTCTTTGGGGCTGTCTCATCATTCCATATACCCGGTTGCGCCCTGCCAACGTTTCTCTTTTTGTCCCTTGGGTGGCTGCCGTATGCAAGCTGTTTCCTCTCGATCACGTCCGATGCTGTCCCGTCATCATTGGGTATCTCCACTTCTTGATCACTTACTTGTCTTCACTGTCATTTTATCTATTTCCTTTCACCCTCTTCCCCCCCCC